GAGCCCCTCGGGCCCCCGCAGAGCCCCTCGGGAAGCCCCCACCGGCACACGGGACAGGGGCGCAGCGGTTCTGGATCGCGAAGGCGGAGGGTGCGGCAACTCTGGGGAACGGGGAGCGGCGGCGACGTGTGCGGCGGGTGTGGGCCCCTCTGGGACAGCACCGCACCGCCCCCACACCAGGCTCTGGGCGTTTTCAAAACCTAAAGACCTATATTCAGAATTTCTTATAATCTAAAATCCTGCATATAAAAAAGTAGATGCGGGATTCTATTTTGAAATAAATTTTTATATAAATCAATATTATTTGTCAATATAAATATAAAAATGAGAGACGTTACAGTTTTAATATTTTACAAGCACACACACCCTCCTGATAAAAGTCATGATTTTTAATAGTTCAAATATTAATCTAAATTACTGGCTGGTTACAGCAGCAAGCTTCATACAGCTTCCCGTCCTTAAGGATTTATCAGAAGAAGCAGTTTCAGGTTTCTTCATCTCCAAACGCTTGGGAAAGCCTTTTTTCATCAAAGTCCTTGGCAATTTTCTCGTAAGAATAAAAGCAAGCACTGGCAGGACAAAGAGAGCTAGAGAAAGAGAAATTCCCAAGGGACTACAGGACAGAGAGGGAGGAATGGAAAAACAGGGAGCTGGAGCTGGGGCCAAGCAGAGAGAGAGAAGGGGGGAAAAGGGATCTGGAGCTGAACAGAGGGATGGCAAAATAATATAATGATGCAGATGCAGCCTTCCCTGCTCTTTGACTCTGCTGGGATGGGACACTGATCCCCCCATGCTGAGCCCCCAGTGCAACCTCGCACACCCCAACACGGCTCCAGGCAGCTGCCACCACTGAGTCCAGCTCCAGGCAGTGCCCACTGTCCCTCCCCACTGTGTTGAGAACGTTAACATCCTAGCCATATTCTCTAATCCTAAACCCCTAAATAAAGCCCCTGTTCTCTAATCCTAAAACTCCTAACTCCAAACCCTCACCCTACACCAGAGAAGTTGTGGGCTTCCCATCCTTGGAGATATTTGAAAACCCTCATGTGCTGAATCTAAACCATAGCTCTAGATTCTACCCTCCTAATTCTTCTGTTCTTTCATCAAAGGGAACAGTTCCAAGATATGTTAATTGTACACTTTTTAAATCTTAACTGTACAAAGAAAGCCAAGTAGGTCAAAAAACAATTATCTCCCTGTCCTAGTTTTGGACACAACCTCAGTGTTACTGATACCACCTCGTGTGTTTGCCAGGGGTGGGGGAAAAGGGACTCTCTCTGGCTTCAGGTTGGGACCAAGCAGACGGAGCAGTTGGGGTCAGGTGCCAGCAGCTGCAGTCAGGTCAGGTCAGGTCAGGTCCAGTGAGCATTTTGCATGTACATCACTGTCTCTTTTGTATGCTTTTGTTATTAATATTGTTACTGTTACTGTTGATTTTCTTATCTCATTGCTGTTTCCAATATATTGATCTTAACTCATGATCTTTGCCTTTTGTGCCTCCAATTCTCCTGTCTGGCCACCCAAACTGAACTGGGGAATGTACCATTCCTAAAGCACGACACTCCCCTTTACGGAGATCTCCTCTCCCCCTTCCTAGTCTCCCTTCTCACAGATTCTGACAAAGGCATGTATACTGTGGGAATGGTCTCTTGAAGTACATGCTGTCCACAGCCCCAAAAGCCAGGGAGATCATTCAGTTACAGAAGAACTGGAACATTAAGAACAAAACATACATCTGCGACTTAGTGTAGTGATAGCATGATGTGGGCTTTTTTTGTCTCTTACAAATGTCATCACTGCACTTAGCTGAGAATTGTTTCAGCATCATCAGCAATAACATCCAAGAAAGAACCAGTTTTCTTTAATGCCAATTAAATAATAAATTAAACTCCACTTACAAATATTCAGGATTGTTATTGAGGATGTACTGCGTATATGCCCTTCTCCGTTATGTGCATCAAGAAGATTCCATACACCGCATATAGCAACACTTGCTGCAACACTGCTGGCAGCTACAACTTCTTGGTGATTTCTTTAACATACCAGATGCACTGACAAAAATTCTTCACATTTCTAAGAACTAAAAATAGGGGGATTTCTTGTATGTCAGGTGATAGTCAAAATGCAGTTTTATATGTAACTGACCCACAAAACTGCAGGAGACTAAGGACTTAGGTACAGGACAGGTTCAACAGAGTCTTGGGAAAAAACCTCTGCCTTCCTCAGTCCAAAGGGACAGCAGAGCCAGTCACATCTGCTCACGATAATCCTCTGGGGAATGGAGCAATGTTTGCCAATCACCTGGCTGTGATTCCTCGCAGAAGCTCTAAGACTGCAAACATGTGTGTGCCAGTGGGATCTGGAGCATGGGGCCACCTGGCAAAATGTTGGTGCCTACTCTAAACACGATCACCCACTCATGCTCCAGTGACAATACTTGATAAATCTCCCACGACTTAAGTGAAAGTCTGGATGCTTTGTTCAGGATACTACTATGGTGGGTTGAACCTGACTGGATGCCAGGTGCCCACCAAAGCCTTTCTAGCACTCCCCTCCTCAGCTGGACAGGTGAGAGGAAATACAACTAAAGCTCATGAGTTGAGATAAGGACTGGAAGAGGTCATTCACCCATTACCATCACAGACAAAACAGACCTGACTTGGAAAAATTAACGGAATTTATTACCAATCAAAATCACACTAGGATAATGAGAAGCAAAACAAATCTTAAAAACACCTTCCCCCCCACCTCTTCCTCCTTCCCAGGCTTAACTTTATTCCTGATTCTCTCCCTCCTCCCCGCCAGCAGTGCAGGGATATGGAAATGGAGGTTATGGTCAGTTCATGTCGCTGCTTCCCCCTCAGGGAGGGGAGTCCTTGCCCTGCTGCAGCACGGAGTCCCTCTCAGAGGAGACAGTCCTCCATGAACTTGCCCAACATGAGTCCTTCCCCTTTGGTTCTTCATGAGCTGCTCCAGTGCAGGGTCTTTCCTGAAGGTTCCGTCCTTCAAGAACTGCTCCAGTGTGGGTCCTTCTCGCAAGTTCAGTCCTTCAGGAACTGCTCCAGTGTGGGTACTTCCACAGCATGAGTCCTTCCACAGGGTGAGTCCTTCAGGAACAGCTCCAGTGTGGGCCCTTCCATGGGGTCAGTCCTTCAGGAACTGTTCCAGCATGTTTCTCTCCACAGGCCCTGCCAGGACCCTGCTCCAGTGTGGCCTAACCACTGGATCACAGCCTCCTTCAGCATCCACCTGCTCCAACATGGGGCTCTTCCATGGGCTGCAGGTGGATTTGTGCTCCCCTGTGGACCTCCATGGGCTGCAGGAGGACAACCTGCTTCACCAAGGGCTGCACCACTGGCTGCAGGGGAATCTCAGCTCCAGCCCATTTGACAGCATCTCTTCCCCTTCCTTCTTCACTGACTTTTGTGTCTGCAGAGCTATTCCTCTCACATATTCTCACTCCTCTCTTCTCTGGCTGCAATTGCTTCTGCCCAATAACTTTTTTCCTTCTTAAATACCTTATCCCCAGGGTGTCACTGCCATCTCTGCTGGGCTCAGCCTTGGCCAGCGGTGGGTCCATCCTGGAGACAGCTGGCATTAGCTCTGCTGGACAAGGGGGAAACTTCTGGCAGCTTCTCACAGAAGCCACTCCTGTAGACACCCACCCCACCCCCCCGCAGCCAAAACGTGGCCACGCAAACCCAACACACATATGAACATCACAGAAGCTTAAATATGAGCAAGAATAAGTCCAGTCTAAAGTCTGCAAGTTCTTCCTCCTGCACAGGAAAAACATGCCAGCTATGGCATAGGCACTCAGCTGAACCTTTCCTGCATTCTTCTTTCCTTCTGGTTCTCTCTCTGAAGTCAAAGGAGCTTCTGATCATGACCTTATCTAATGTCAGTGAACAAGACACTTTGCTGAGGTTCTATCCATGCTACATCACTCTTCTGTACAGAGAGCCCTTTGTGGCAGCACAGAGTATTAACTTCACTCTGGCATTCACATGAACAGCAGGATTCACAAGTCACCTTGCTGAGATGTTTGTTTTGATTAGGTTGTCTCCTCAAGACCAAAATGAAACCCCAATGAAGAACATGTGAAGCAACAAGATCATCTTCACATACTTCATTTATCATAGAGTCACAGAATGGTTTGGGTTGGAAGGGACCTCAAAGATCACCTAGTTCCAACCCTATGCCATTGGCAGGGATGCCACTCACTAGTTCAGGTTGCTCCAAGCCCTGTTCAACCTGGCCTTGAACACTTTCAGGGATTCAGTTGTATGAGAAGAGAATAAGCAGGGCAACAAGTGTATAAAAGATTTGATCTCTCAAGTAATGCTTTGGGAAACTGAGCAGCATATTTTCTCTGGTTACAGAAGCTGCTCCAGACTGTTGACTTCTTTGGTAGAGTTCTTTGATCACAGAAAGCTCAAACATCTGCATTACTGACAGTGCAGCTGGGACAGATTTGTCACTGACAGACTGGTTTTTCTTCCAGTTCCTGTGATCTTATGACTAAAACTACTCCTGTAGAGACTACCAAATAGAAGCACATCTGGTATGGACAACCATGCTGGTGTTTATGAACCAATGTCATGACAAGAGCAGCACAAGTTACATTCTTTTGACAGTTCTCTATGTTGATAACAGTTTGAAGCTCTTCTTTTGTACATGTCATCATCCAGTTCTGCTAGTGTTCTTCACAAACTTGGCATTACCTTCAGTCCATTGCAAAGTGACAATCTGGGACATAGAATAAGGAGGAAATTTGTGCCCTGAAATTTGGTCTTTAAATTTTAGGAAGTCAAATACTGACACGCAGATCCAGTTTTCTGAACCTGTCCTGCATTTACATGGCTAAGCTTCAGTATTTGTACAGGAACGTGCACTCAGATAAAAATTTAGCAGTGTCTTTCTGTTCCTACTTCCATATTCATGTTTGTGGAAATTTTGTTTTAAAAAATGGTGTCTCTCCTTCCTTGTGTTTCTATACCCTTCTGTCTATAGGCACAGCATTTTCTCCCAGCTTGATTTATATACTATGCCGACGGTTGTTGATCATGGCCACAATGTGAGACAGGTCCAAACTTTTCATCATAACCTGCATGAACTCCTCGTCTTTCCTTGCTCCCTCCACAAATTCATCCAAAGAAAGTTCACCTGTGTCAGACACAAACAAAAGGCATCAGAATCCACATTTGACAGGAAAAGGAGTACAGCAATCTAACCTTAGACACCACTTACTATACAGGCACTGTTCTAAAGCACTGAGGCCTCAGAGAGTCTTAAGTTTTCTGAAACTTAACCTTCCTTTTTTCCTGTAGAAAGGAAGGGATACATAAGAAAGAACAGTAGAAGTGTGTGGCTAAGGAGTGGGATCATAGCATCCTATAAATAAGGCTGGATTATCCACCTCCTTTTTGGCCCAACCTGTCATAGTCATAATCTGTCCTATACTTGCTGGTTTTCATGGATAAAAGAAGTGATAGAGGGAGGCTATGATGGGCAGAAATATATTTTCTGTCCTAGGCCAAAAAGCCCTTGTGCAGGGAAGCAGCTCAGCAGAGTTATTCTGGAATAACAAAAGAGCCTGTTAGGAGGTCATGAGTACCTGAAGTAGCAAGGAAAGAAATACCTCTCAGGGAGGTACAGTGACTACAGTGGTGTTGATCACCTTTTGACTGAGCACCTCGTGATTGCTGTACTGCCTGCAATAGACCCAGTGAAGAAACTCTGAACTTCAACATTAAATTCCAGTTCTTCCTTTCCCTGCTGAAATACGTAGGAACAGCTGGGGCCGTTTGTTAATATTTCCCACTTCTAACTGGCATAAGCTACACAGCAACATATAAAAAGGAAACAAAACAAAACAAAACACCACCCCAGGACCCCAGTACCAAACTCATGTGAACAGAACACAGATGACACTCAGTACAGGGAACAAATCTGGACATATTGATTATGTATGATGCAAGGAGAAAAATGCCTTTTGATTAATGGAGAATGGATTACTGGCTGAGAATGCATATAAAAAGAAAATATGAAATGAAGAGGCATAAAGTTCAATCAAGAAAGGAAGACATGGATGTTTCTCTGTAGAACAGAGACTATCTGAGCTGGATGGCAAAGGCAGGAATCTTACCATCTCCATTCACATCAATCCTGTCAAAGACTCGGTTGGTGAACTCTTCTGCACTAGTTTCATGGTCACCACCATTAATAGCTCGAATAGCCTAAAATGAAAGAGCAAGAATAAGAGTGTGCCTAATGGCTCCAATGATAGTGATGATTCCATTGCAGCAGGTCAGCATAGATTCAGAATAAGACAGTCATGCCTGGCACTTTCCCTGTACAAATGAACCAGAATCAAAGGAAAACACAACACAAATCATCAGGCCTTATGGCTGGCACTTTATGGTGCAAAGGGAGGATGGTTCTGGAGCATGGAATGAGCAGCAAAACCCAGAGGATCACCCTAAGTCTGCTTAGGTACAGTTTAGGTACTACAGAAATGGCAGAATCAGGATCCAGCTGATTGATCCACTTTGGCCCAGTTGGTGACCCTGTGGCCCACCGAACCCCAGTAACACTGTCAAACGCCCTCTGCACTTGACGTTATGAAATTCCTTTGTTATGCTGTGGTCATTTATTTCTACTCTTGCTTTCCCAATTTCCATTTATATACTGCTTCCTGTGTGTCTGGCTTCTCCTGAAAGCTCATTAGAAATTAATTTTTGGCTTGAGAAAGGTAAAGCATTATCCACTACTGTTTACTACAATTCTTCTTATTTTATAACTACATAGAACACAGTTCTCTTTGTTTTCCATGCCTAATTATCTCATTTGTTTAAGGATGTCAATGAAATATGTGATTCCAGAGCCTTTATACTGATTTCTAAGACTATTCATTTTCTAATTTTGATATTTGATAATTTTCTTCATTCTTTTTCAAATGCTATTTTACTAAAATCAAGAATCACCTCAGCAACTTCCTAAGGCTGCCAAAAAAGACACTGAACTACACTTACAAAATTCAAAGGGCAATAAATTGCTTGCCACCAATTGTTGCCTATGGGACTTGTTTCTTAAGAGCTTTATTTTAACTATTGCTATCTGTTGCTTCACTGTAATGTCTGAGTATTTCTATTGCAGGCTATTACTAGGAGGCTGTATAATATTAGTCATTGATTTTGGTTTGGTCTCTTTGATACCCAGCACTAAAATGCATATCCAGATGAGAATGCATTACTAACATCTTAGTGCCTTTATTTGTGGACAGCTTAGGCTTCAAATCTTTATCGAATCAATTTCCTGACCCTTCATATTCAGAAATGTAATTTATTTGGGGTCTGTAATTTATTTGAATCTTTCCTGCATCTTGGTAATTTCCCACTGTCTACAAAATAATCTGAACTTGCAGCATAATTAATTCTGAGATATTCATAGTGATCTTAATACCAGTGGTTCCAACTCTGTCCAGAGTAGCTATTCATATACAATCCTTTCCATTCACAATCATTCTTCTTCAAGTTGTTTGCCGGTGTCAGATATGGTTTTTTTGCATTTATATTTAGGAGCTGGTTCTAAAAAACAAACTGGGAGTAATTCTCCGACTTCTCATGGGTAAAAGGACATGTGAAGGACACATTGCAGAGATGGCAACTGACAGCTGGAGTCTGAAACCTTGGAAAGTCCAATTTAGGTGCTAGGCAGCTAAAACAATTTTCTGCTTAGCTATGCTGCAACATATGCTGTGGTGGTAGAGTCTGTCAAGTCTGCTTATTGCATCATGGGATGGGGGGGAATTCTGCTCAAAGAAAGAATGATGTTAAAGATCTCACCCATGATGATCCATATGGGGAACAGAAAAGTGTTACTTGTGTGATTTTGTCTTTAAGGAAAGAGGAAAGAACACAGCCCCCTAGAGATTCACCTTAATAATGTTGAGCAGTTCATGTCGATCAATGCAGCCATTGCCATCTACATCATAGAGCTTGAAATACCACCGCAGCTTCTGCTCCATCTTCCCTCGGAGAACAAGGCTGAGGGCAGCCACATATTCCATGAAGTCAATATACCCATCCTGTGAGAAAACAAAAACCGAACTGTGACAGGAATAAACTGAGGGAGTTACAGCTCTGGAACTGTTTTACTGTTTATTGCTCCTTAGGTTCACAACTGAAAGAGAAAGGCAAACAAATGGCACACGGACTTGGACTTAGGAAAAAGCTTTAGTGCACACACACATATATTCAATTCCTCCGGCCAATAAATACCTGGATTCCTAAAGTTATGATTTATTGCATGTCTAGGCTCCTCTCTTCTCACCACCTGCAGTGGAGGAACCTACCACTCCTCATGGCCAGTGTGAACAAACCCCCCTCTGTCCACTAAAGCTGACAGGCCTGCTGGGAGAGAACACTGAGCCCTGGCTGCAAGTTTCCTCTACTAGTCTGCTCTGCCTTTATGGGAAACTATGCTATTTCACTAGGCCATAGATCTCTTCTCCATCCTCTGGGAAATAAAATGATTAGGGATGTTTTTTAAAATACATAGAATATAATTTGATCAGTGGAAAAATTGTCTGTATTTAGGTTTTCAACACTCCATTTCTTGATTCTACAAAGGAACTCAAAAAGCCCTTATTTCTTCTGTAAGGAAAAATGCCAGACAGTAAAGGTTTGTAAGCCTTAGATTTAACATTAAATTTGAAGTGTTTAAAAACAAACTACAAATAAAACACTTATCTCCATCAAAGATTCCAAATAACTACTTCAAGAAATTACAGCAAAAAAATGAAACTTTCATTTATTGAGGTACTGGAATAAAGCCAGATGCCTTTCTGGAATGGATGTAAACAAACATATGTAAAAGGAGAATGTAGTGAACTAGCAGTGCACTACTGTTTTACAGCAAGGCTCACAACATTTAAAATATTCACTCAGGGTGGGAAGAAGGGCATGACAGGCTGAGAGAGTTGGGGCTGGTCAGCCTGGAGAAGACTCCAAGGAGAACTTAGAGCCCCTTCCAGTACCTAAGGGGGGCTTAAAAGAAGGCCGGAGAGGAACTTGGGACAAGAGCATGTAGTGACAGGACAAGGGGGAAATGGCCTTAAGCAGAAGGAGTGCAAATTTAGATCAGATGTTAGGAAGGAATTCTTGGCTGGGAGGGTGGGCAGGCCCTGGCACAGGTGGCCAGAGAAGCTGTGGCTGCCCCTGGATCCCTGGAAGTGTCCAAGGCCAGGCTGGACAGGGCTTGGAGCAACCTGGGCCAGTGGAAGGTGTCCCTGCCCATGGCAGGGGTGGCACTGGGTGGTTGTTAAAGTCCCTTCCCACCCAAACCATTCCCTGGCTCTGTGACTCGGTGTCCCTCCCTGCCATGCCCAGCACACAGAACTGGCCCCTCTGTGATATCAGCTCTGGGCCGGGGGCACTGTGGGTGCTGTGGGCACAACGCTGGTGGCTGTGCCGGATGTGACCCCCGGTCCTGGCACTGCCACGTGCGCTGGCACCGATGGCTTGGCTGTGGCTCCTGGTCCTGCTGGCCCTGGCCAGGCCCGTGGGTGGCACTGGGGACACATGCAGGTCAGTGGCCCCATTTAGGGGTTCCACGGAGGGGCCCTGTTTGTTCCCCACAGCCACACCCCAGTGTCCTGGTCCCCATGGAGAAGCCTGTCCCTGGTCAGCACCCACGTGCTGGCACAGCTCATCTGCAGGGCTCCAGTAGATCCGGGGGGACAGATGTGCCCTCGGGGGTCATGGCCCTGCTGCCCCTCAGCACCAAGCAGGGAGGTATAACGAGCAGGGCAGTGATGGCTTTGTGCTTTCAGAACGACCTGCGGGCTCCAGCCCATGGCTTCCGACCACAACTCGATGGCTTCTGCCAACGGCATGTCCCGCGTCGTGGGTGGCACCGGTGTCCAGCCGGGGGCCTGGCCTGGCATCGTCAGCATCCAGGCCACCTGGAAGAATGGCACGTGGCACATGTGCTCGGGTGTCCTCCTCAGCTTCCAGTGGGTCCTCACGGTCGCCCACTGCTTCATCAGGGCCGGGTAAGGAGGGGCAGGGACAGGGATGTCCCCACAGCTCGGGCAGGTGCCCAGGTCACAGCACCACGTGCTGCTCCCGTCCGGCTCTTTCCTCTCTGCTTCCCTCTCTCCCTTGGGAAGCAGAAGGCTGGGAAGCTGCCACAGTCCGTGGCTCTGCTCCCTCTCACCCCTCTCTCCATCTGTCCCTGCTCCCTCTCACCGCTCTCTCCATGTGTCCCTCAGGGATGTCTACCGGTGGGACGTGGTGATCGGGGCCACGGATCTGACTCAGCCGGGCCCCGAGGCCAAGGTGAGGCACATCCAGAGGATCCTGGTGCACCAGCACTACGTGGTTGCCACGGCAAGGAACGACATTGCCCTGCTGGAGCTGGACCGGCCCGTGGAGTGCAGTGACTACATCCAGCTGGGCTGTGTGCCCGACACCTCGGTGAGGGTCTCTGAGCTGAAATCCTGCTACATCGCGGGATGGAGTTTCGCCACACCAGGAGGTGAGGCCCTACAAGGACATGTACCCTGAGGCTGTGATGGGCACCCCATGGACATGGGCTGGGCACCCCAGGGACATGGGCTGGGCACCCTGGGGACATTGGCTGGGCACCCCAGGGACATGGGCTGGGCACAGCCACAGTCCAGCTGTGGCTGCAGGACATCAGCAGGGCCAGGTCTCGGAGCAGCCTGGGCTGGGGGAAGGGGTCCCTGCCCAGAGTAGGGGGTGGCACTGGATGAGCTTTAAGGAACCTTCTGCCCAAACCATTCTGTGACTCTGTGAAGGCACTCCCAGCCAGGGGAGGGGACTGGCACTCAGCTGATGGGGGCTCATTCCCCTCTTTTCCTACAACTCCTGGTCCAGATGTGGTGCTGCAGGAGGCCAAGGTCCACCTCATGGACACA